CACACACACACACACACACACACACACACACACACACACACTGGCTGTGGCACAGTGATATCAAGGAAATGTGAAGAATGCATCAAACAGCCTTGGTGGCTCTTATCTCGCACAGCATGTGGACAGGGACGTCCTGAAAAAAGAAAATACTTGGAAATATGACTGAAGACAGCACATTAAGGCAAAAAGGTCAAATTCAGGCGGCTTGTATCACGTCCTCGCTCTTCATTTCAACGAAATCTTCCATTGTAGTAATTGTGCTTTTGTAATATCTTGTACAGTAAAAGCCAGATTGCGATTTAAAATGGAAATAGTGCTGATCTGACATCTGACTGGATTACCTTCAAACAAAAGGTTTAAGAATTATTTTCACCTCAGGGCTTGTCACAGTGCTCTCTCTCTCTGATCATATGACTAAAGGGGCCACTCCAGCCCTGCTGGTTATCAAGGCCCGAGCTGTTAAAGCCTCCTCTGTTTTTACTGCCCCGGCTCACGTTGGGTAACACGCAGCAGTAATGGTGCAAGTAATCGTGTCCTTTAAGGGATTACCACGCGTCCAGTCCATCCTGCCGACACCAGCAACATGCAAAGGCGGAACATTCACCTAAATGTCTCAGTTAAAGTTCTTTAAAATGTATAGCACTCCGTTTATTTTAAAAGGTTCCCTGTAATATCTGTTTTGAAGGTTTTAGAAGCTGTCCTGTACTCAACCTGACAAGTCTGTGCTCAGATGGCGTGAACTACAATGCGCTGAAATCACTGTTGAACATATGCGATGTAATGGACTCATTTATCTGGACATTTTTAAGATGCCTGGCCCCCAGTGGAAATGACCCCTTGACCTGTGGTGGCTCAGCCAGACCCACTCTGCTCCACGCCGCATCGCCTTCTTAAAACCACTGTGATGTGTTGCCTGTTCAACTTCAGGCATCAGCTGCTCGCAATGTAATGTTTCCTAACAGCTGTCGCACTGTCAGGTTGTGCGTGTGTGTGTGTGTGTGTAACAAAGAGAGTGATGGCAGCAGGAGTCCCTGTCGGGCCCTTGGGACAGTCGGAGAGGAGCAGACGGTCGTGTTGTTTCACTGGAAACATATGGTGAAACTCAAGTGTGTAATTTACCTAGGACTACGGGTGGCCCCCGAGTGGCGCGCATACACACACACACACATACACACAGTGACAGGGTGTAATTTACCTGGGGCCTATGGGTGGCCCAGGATCCCGTTGCACTTGTCATAGACATCTCAAACACAGTTCACACTACTTGACACAGACGTAGAGAGTGAAACTAATTTTCCCAGGCCTGCAGGCAGGAGAGTAAGAAATCACACCCTGACAGAGATGTTAGAGACCCACACTCGGAGAGAGACAGAGAACGAGGCTGCGTTCAGCGTGTCGGCCCGTTGGAAGAACTTACCCCTAAAATCCCAACCTGTGGGAGTTTCTGCACACCCTGGATCACATCCTCTCCAATTCATCAACCTGGATCCTTTTCAAAGCCGCTGCCCCCCCCCTCCCCTCCTCTCCCTTCGAGAGAGAGAGAAGGAGATGAAGGTCATGGGAGCACCAGCGAAGGGGAAAGAAGACAGATGAGAGGAGTATGTCCCTCCCTGCATTCCTGCGCTGACCTTCGTAGTATTGTTGCACTGTAACTATCATCAGCCCACCATGCTTTACAGTGGATTGTTATTGAGGTGGTGGTGGTGGTGGTGGTGGGGGGGGGATTATAGGCTCCCCGAACCTGCATGCCCCACCCTGGTTCCACGGCAACCGTGAACGGAGTGTATCTAATTTCACTTGAGGATTGACAGACAGGCGGGTTCCAGACGTTTGCAGTAGGCACTGTTTGAGGTGTGTGTCTGTCGGAGCTGATGTGATAGTCTGCAAGTTTCTTTGGGTGTGTGTGTGTGTGTGTGTGTGTGTGTGTG